GTTCTAGCTACGTTTAAGTAAAAGTATTTTGAATTGGATCGCGTCTTAGCATTAGGTACATGAATAAGAATCTTACCAAGTAAATATTCACAATCTATGGCATTATTAAGCATTTTATATAAAAATACACAAGCAGCGTAGTTTCTGCGCTTCTCCAAGTTACAGAGGTTATATCTGCTAAGTAATACATCATGCCTGAAGCCAACTTCTGGATTCGTACCATCTTCCTTGTGTCACAAATATTTCACAAACCGCCTCTGAATACGTTCAATTTTATTCGAGTGAACTTCATGAACAGGATACCATATTATAGAGCAGTATTCAATTTTGGATCGAACAAATGAATTATATAACGAGATCATGGTATGCACATTATTGAAATACCTACAATTTCTGATAATGAAGCCCAAACTTTTATAGGTCTTGCTAACAACAGCATCAATATGCGAAACAAATGTAAGTTTGGTATCAAAGGATATGCCTAAGTCATGAAACTCGTCACACATGTTAAGTTGCGAATTATCAGTGTTATATATGAATCTGATTGGAACAGGTTTGCGTGTAAGAGACATAGTGTAGCATTTATCAGCATTAAGGTACAGCTTGTTACGGTGACACCACTTATTTAGGTTGCTCAAGTCGTGTTGAAATATATTACAGTCGTCCATGGTTTCAATTTTACAAAAAATCTTCAAGTCATCTGCATGTAGAAGGCAGCTCCCCAACGACGTCATCAATGAAAATTTGGAAAAGCAGAGGGCCAAGAGCAGACCCTTGAGGAATGCCAGAAGAAGGAATAATCTGAGTGGAGGTGAAGCCCCTGTATTCGACTTTCAAGCATCTGTTTGTAAGATAAGATTTGAAAAACTTCAATAATTGATGGGTCAACCCTCGCGTAGCTAATTTCTTTAACAAAATACCGTGATCTAGCTTATCAAAAGCCTTCGAAAAGTCAACGTAAGCAACATCTACTTGCCCCCTTCATCAACAACTTCAGAGCAAAACTGTTTAAAACACGCTAGATTAGTTAAAGTAGATCTGCCTTGGAAAAAACCATGTTGATTTGGAGAAATTTCGCGCTTAACATGAGAGAAAATTATATCATGCAGTATGCATTCGAAAACCTTACCGACATTGCTTATAATCACAACAGAATTGCAGGAAATCGCCGCGGCGCCCGGGTTGTGTGTAATTACTGTTAGCATGCACGAGTATACGACTTATAATTCGACAGTGTACAGTGAATAGAATTATTTCTTATCTCTCTTAGCATGTATATGGCTTGTAATTCGACAGTGTACATAATTATTTCTTAGCTTGAATTTTTGAAATTCAACAAATTTGCATATGTAATTTCCAGAATGGATAAGAAAAAGTGGATGCATAGCTAATTTCTAGATTTTAACCTCAAGTAAGTGTATTTGAGACAAGAATAGAATCGTCATCAAGACATATTATTAGCACACAAGTCCTCGCTATGCACTTATGCATTGCCGTTTCCTTCTAGGTATAGTATACAACTTACAGCTTAGACCTCCAGTATTTAGAAGCAGATTTTACCTCTCATCAGAGCCAAAACATTGATAACTGAAGCCGCATGACTTTAGGCGACACGTACAACTATAAAACGAGTTCACAACGTGTCCATCAGCTAGTGCTAAGTTTACATATTGTAGAAAAACCTACATAATGTCACAAAAAACAAATACAAAGTCAAAAAAATCCACTTAGTGTCAGTTTTCAAGATACGAATTATCCATGCCGTTGGCCCTAATTCAGGGTGCTTACGCTGGTTTATGAGTGAATACCCTGGCTAGCTTCTCCACATCTTCGGCTTTGTCTTCCGCTACTGCCTGAATGAAAAGGTCTGTTACTTCAGATAGACACCTTGTTCTTGTAACTCATTTTTATTAAACCAAAATAGTGTATTTTTCTTTTAGAATCCCTGTTATCTGACAGGCCTTTGTCAGCTCGACTGATTTATCGACCACACACTTTGTGAAATTAATATACTACATTCCACTAAAAACTACTCTACAAAGTTATACACAAAAAATCCAATCAATCAGCAGTACATTGTTGCCGTTGTATCTATAACTGATCTGTAACTACCCTTTATACCTATTTTGAAGTCAGTCCTGTCACTATTTACAGCTTCCTGGGTCTTACATGAAAATCAGTCCATGTTTGCACCGTATGTAATATAGTACTTCTTGGCCACAGAGCAGGATAGTTATGCGCGAAAATGCTACTTTGTGGCCGTTTACACCGGGTGCTGAGGGTGACTTTGCGCTATATTATTTAAAAACTATATATGCATATAATATTGGTGGCAGGAAACTTGACAGACCTAATACAATTAATGACTTGGGAGTCACATTTGACAGAGTTACTCAAACGTAATTTGGAATTTAGTTTTTAACGCTTCAGTGTGAATCTGGCAGGTCATCCCCCTGTCAAGAGTGACACCGAGATACTTACCAGAATTTCCCCATGGTATGCGAGATCCATTCACTGAAACCTCAGGCGGGGGCCTTCTCTTATCACATTGAAAATGTTTTTGTGTCCAAACTCAGTTTTATTGTAATAAATACTGGTGATTTCCATAACTTCTCTACACTGAAAAAGACTGTGCTATGCTCATGTAAGATGTAAGCTTGTGTATGCGCCTTGGTATGGTATCCTCATCATCAAATATATAGGTGTATTAACCGCTTAGAATCCGTTCGAAGAAAGTTTTTAAAATATCTCATACAAAGCGGATGGGATATACCCTGACATTGGCTTTGCTCATAGTGAGTTGATGGTGAGACAAAATCTATAATTTAGAGAGCAGACGCAAACAGAATTCATTTAAATTCCTCCACAGGCTCATCCATGGCATTAAAGACTTCAGTGTCATCTTAGAACAACTTCTTTGTTCTCAGATTAGAGTCACGAAATATTTTAACTTTTTACTTCGCCAGGCCTAGGACTAACATACTTAAGTTTTTTCCTATCTATAATGTGGCGTGATTATAATAGAGTTAATAGCGTTTTGGATATAGTTTCGTATTGTTCGACATTGGGAGACATTAATGCTTATTTTCGTTAATGCTTGTATAAATCTTCCCGATGTGATTGTCGAGTGCTGGGTAGGTAAAGCTAGAACGTATTGTTTTCCTCACAGTTTTGTTTTAAGGTCTTTTTTTCAGCGTTTCAGCTTTCTCTACATGCATCCACCACATGCATTTGTTTATAATATTTTCATGTTTATCCATCTTGTAATTGGCTTTAGCTGTAGGATGTTGCTAAATAAATAAAGAAAAAATAAATAAATTAGAGATGTCCGATATCATTATTTTTGGTACCTGTGACATCTTATATCGGTATTTTCTGATATCAGTGATTTGGAATCCGGACATAATCCTGACTTCCGAATAACGATGACATTATGATATGTCCTGAGCAAAATACCACGATGAAATCATATGGAGCCAACTACCAAAGCTTGTAGGGTACGATATCGCTTACGGTGGTATACAATCCTCGACCTTAGTGGCTAGCAGCATGCGCATCTCACATACAACGTTAACGTGGTGATGCCATTCATAGTTGCGTTGCCGAGAAATCGCTAGTTCTTGAAGTCGTGCATACGTTATGCTTTTTCCCGGTATTTGGTAACAGTAATATTACTGGTAAGAAAAGAAAATCCGTACCTGAGACCACGAGATTTCAGGTACAGATTCTGAAGTTGATATATCGAGAAGCCTTGCGTTTGTGACTTGCCATAATATCCCACGTTTCATACCAGTATGCTGTTCGAACTTTGACAAATGGACGAAGTTATATAAGAAAACTTTTGTCACTGGAAAGAAGGTGTAAAGTTCAATCGCATCAAATCTGCTATTTCTTGTCTTCTCTCCAGAACATAAATGTAATCCTAATCCTTAGTTTTGAGAATACTTTGTATCCTATGCAATCCTTCGACGCTTTTCAATAATATAGTTTCCGTACATTCCAACCGACTACCAAAATTATTGATAGTTATATTCTATATTTACATTCACGAGATAATACGTATAAATATTGATCCAGCCACCTAAATATAGTTATACAAGCCTGAAATTATAAATTATTTTATCAATAACTAATGTTTTTATTCCGGCTGGTGCCCTACTCACGCTGTTATATCAGGAGGTTGACAACGAATCAGTTATGTAAATTCTTTCTTCAAAAAAATGGTACAGTTGTATAAATATTTGTACAGTGTCAGCATTCGTAGGTCAACATAGGAGTTTACAAAAAGTAGATAGCTTATAATCTCGTAAAGGTATACAGTATTGGACAAAATGTTGTACTGTTACAATAAAATTTGAATACGAATCCATAAATACACTACATCAATAGGACAGTAGTGCATTATATACCGTGATTAGGAAGTATGCCATGACTGGCACTTTTAGTCACAATTCACAATCGTTTATTACAATATCCATTACTTTTCACAATACGTAAGTGAAACTTTAACCAATACAACAACTTTTTTATACTTGAGCGACCACGCACACCTAAAGCCTAAACGCTCGAAGGTAACGTGTGACTATAGGGTAAAGAGGTAGAAGGGGGGGACGTCACACGGACTCAAGCGCGACATCTCACTTACATACGACTTGCACCCATTATGACCGCGCACCAGACATTCGCCGGGTGGTACCTCCACGCTCAACGATCCGAGACCGTCTACCACCTACCGACAATTACAGCATCCATAGCCAAAAGAAAATTCTTCTGGACTGGGATTCGAACCTGTGAACCTTTGCATATAATACAATTAAATTTCCGTCATTTTAGGGATATGCGGTATAAAAAAACAATGTACAACATGTTAAACGTTAATATTTCTAGTAATTATATTTTTGCTTATAACGGTTATAACTAGTAACATGCAATACCCTACTTGGGGATAGCTCCGTGATCAATATCAAAAATACCATCTTTAAATCGACCAGAATGTTCAACTGCTCACTTTTATGACACTTTTATTTCACCTTGAAATTGAAGAAAACAAGGCAATAATATCATCATCTGAGGATTAAGAAAAATCGTCTAAAAGTGCTATTATGCATAAGCTTTTGATGATGCACATAACGCACAACCCGGCAAAACCTAAACATTCAAAGCAGAGGCGTTTGTAAATGCAACGTTACCAAGTGGCTTTTTGATCTGAGTACTTCTTGGAGTACTACGTGATACCAACTAAGTTGATGGAAAAGCACAGGTATTTTTATATGCAGTGATTTTATTTACTTCATAAATAAATGTATCAGGCCTTTTAAATACTTTGGACATACTTTACGATATCATTCGATAGAATTAATAATATTGAGCATGTACTCTTTACCTCAAATTAAATAGTAGATGCTTCAGTTAGAGGTATAAATAAAATGATGAAGATGCTCAAGAAAGAAGCATCTATGACTTTTTAAATATTTTCTCAATAATAAATATCTCTTTAAGTTTTGACATAAATAAAATTGAACTTAAGCCACTCAGATAAATATGAGGTGCCTAGATAACATGCTCAGCATCAGAAGCACATGTGGTTCTACTAGTGATGGCTGAATTTAAACATATTGTCCGTTAGGATATTGATTACCGAGTTTTATACAGATTCCATACATGTAGCCCTGAATGGTTGTCTCATCATTTTCAAGGAGAAAAATTTGAAGGCAAGTGATGGTTTAATAATTACTGAGCATACAGTGCCTGGAAGTTTTGGTCTTCAAATAGTACCACAACAAAAGAGATTTAAAATAAACAAATACAATAGATGGCAAATAATATACATGAAAAGTTATATTCCAAGTTCGAAAAATTGATCCACCACTAGTGAACCTACAGAAAATCTTTTAACAACAAGAATACATGCTAGTCGGAGCGTGCTCTGCAATTTTTTTTTAAAGCAGTACATGCATCATCATGCAATAATATATTGTTCTTTTTATAGTACTAGACATCTCTGTCTCTCCTTTTTTTGAGTTCGGACTTAAATTTGTGTAATTTCTGCCAATGCCTCTCCAAATTGAGCTTTTTGCTTGGTTTCAACAGTGCTAATTATGTATTGGTCCTCGATTGCTCCACCATGTAAACAATATTTTCTTTCTTATGCTCAAATTCAGTATTAATATGGTGGAAACAGGTTTTTCTGGCTCACAACATATTTTCCTTAAGGTATTTTTATACGTGATTCACTTGTTCTCCTTTGCTATTAGCCGTTCCAAGAAAAGTTCAATTCTGCTGCGCGCAAGCGGAAATGTGTATGCTATGAATCGGTCATTCAAGTTCCTCTAACTGATCTAGTACACATCTCGAATATTTTCGCATCCCAATGCCCAAGCGTGCTGCGAAATACAATAGTTTGTTCGATTAAATTGTGTCTCCCCGACGTTTTCAAACAATGGGGTCACGACGTAACTTTTATCTTGTTTAAATACTCATAGTTTCAAGATGTACAACCTTCCAAAACCGCATCTATTCACATATAACATATGATGGATATTCTACTATAGATATCGTCCCCCAAAACACGAAGTGTCGTATCTGACGTTTTTTTGCGAATTTGAGTTACAAAATATAAAGTCGCCGCTTCCTTCTAACAAAGTGTCGTATCTGAATTCTTAACCAACTTTGAGTAATTTTAATATTTGATTTCAACGTATCTGCCTTAGCGCATTCAAAGAAAGTCACGAACTGTCGTATCTAAGTTTATTTGCAGATACGACAGTTCGTGATCTTCTGGTCTCCTATTCCTTCTACCGCGATGGTGTCGTATGTTCAGCGAATCACGCTGAGGACTTTGAAAATCATATTGAAGAAAAAACTAAGGTTAGAGGATTGAAGGGACTGTATAAAAAAATAACGATGGCTGACAATACAGTTCTATGTGGTGTGTTTGATCTTCAACAGGTCATTTACTTACCAATCAGTAAGGAAAATGCAATTTGTTATAAAAGCAGATGATCGAACTTCAACTTTACTTTCTATGATTTAGCTAGTAAAGATTGTTATTGCTTTGTGTGGCATGAAGCAGCAGGTAAGAGAGCATCTTCGGAGATACCGACCTGCCTTTTTAAAAGTTGTTTTATTTTCTGTTGGGTGCTATAGTCAGAATAAAAACACTATAGTTGTCGCTATGATCCTGTATGATTTGAGTACCCTTCCATCGCAGATGGAGATAACTTTAAGATCCTTTGTTACAAACCTTGGACAAAATATGAAGGGGATTCTGCTCATAGGAGCATTCCTTATGCAATTTTAAAAGATATCTTTGAGCCGAGTCAGCTATTACCGATTATCAATTTGGCAAGACGGAAACATCCGTATAAGGTATATCCCCTAACTTTTAGAGACTTCATGGATTTCAAAGCATGGTCTAAGAATTTGAGGATTTTATCCGTACGTACTACAACTGCAGGAAGAATCTTAACTGGACAGAAATCACAGAAGTTAAAGTTAATAAGTTACACTAAGATCAGACGAGCCATTTAACAGTAGATTTTATTCAATTAAAAAGAGACGCATCAAATAGTGAAGTCAGTTAGTCATACGCCTCATCAATAAATATTTCTAACAAGAAATTTAATGACCTCTTTGCTTTGTGTAATGGCAAAAATCCCGTGATAAGACTATCGGAAATAAAATTTTTATGAAGACTTACCTCGTGATAAGGTTTACAGTATATTCAGATAAGAGATAGACCGGACATAAACGTCTTGTTTCGTGATCATCGAACGCTGTAAAATTCGGCAGGGACGTATTAAGAGTCACGCAGTACATATTTTAGATAGTAGATGCTGCTTTGCGTAACTTTGTAGTAAATTAGCACAATTCGGTGTGTATACGATTGGTGATGGATATAGGATCATGTGGGGGTGGGATAAGAAATATATAATGATGTGAATATACATAAGGGTTTCAAAATTTTCGCTTCGATTTCCAGCTTCGGATGCCGCCTGATGTTTGGTGAAATACAGTCGAATATAATCTCAAAATGGCGTTCAAATTAGCCTAAATTAAAAATAATCGTATATCTCTTAAAATTGCTTTTAGAATATTGATTAGTATATTTTTTGATTTCTAGGTAAATATGTAACCAAATTAAAACGTTCAAAACGTAAAAAAATGTGCATGGTTGAACATTGTCAGAAAGTAGATTCTTGAATAGGTTTTGCCAAAATGGGTTCAAAAATGTCAATAATTAATTAAAAAATACAGTAGCTTTATAATTACTTATAACTTACCGAATTTGATGAACGACATCTTTTATTGGAAAGATGAGCTTGATGAGCTTTCATCATCGCTACTGCCTGAAGCACCAACGTCAATAATGAATGGCTCGACTTGTTCCTCTAAAATATTGTCCAGTTCCCACATTCTCTTTTCAACTTTGTCTTTCACGTGCTTAATACAGTTTTCCCATTTTTGCGCTGTTATTAATTCTAGTGCTTCTTTGAAAAGTCCTTTGAGGTCACAAAATTTAAAAGTTGTATTGTGCTTAGCTATATAATTTTTAACTTCTGCCCATATGAGCTCAATGGGATTGAGCTCGCAATGGTATGGAGGTAAACGGAGCACAGTTTTATTTTGACTTGCCGCCATTTCGTCAATGGCGTATTTTTGATATTCCGCCTTGTGATCCTTGACAATTCTTAATAATTGTACTTTCAGCATTGCTTCTTCAAAGTTGATATTTTTCGAGCGGAGCCAATTTTGAACATCAACTTTCCTTGAAGCCGTTGTTGGGACCTTCTCCATTCATCGAGAACGATAAGGCGCATTATCCAACAAAATTACTGCGTTTTCCTCTAAGTTCGGTAAAATTTTTGAAAACCACTGTTCAAACGATTCGCCATTCATTTCCTCGTGGTAATCTCCAGTTTTCTTAGACTCAAAGCACCACAGACCGTCAACAACAAATCCATCCTCACTACCAATATGGCAGATAATGAGCCTTTTCCCTTTACCTAGAAATCGAAGTACTAACTGGTGTAGATTTATTTCAATAAGCGAACCTTTTTCAAATGTTTCCATCACATTCAGCGAAAAAACATTGAGACATGAGTATCAGATTGCTATAATTGGGATTATTTAGTCATATTGAAAGAAAGAATATTGAACGTCGTATGATTACCCAGCGCTTCACAATTTAATTTAAAGTTATAAACCTTTAAAAAATGAATGATCAGGAACCTGAAATACGCGCAAATATTAATATGTAATATGTTTTATCTGCCCCCTGGAATTAATGTTTAGAACCTTGTTCCCAAGGTTTGAAAAACATCCGATTGTTGTCTATTACTCGTATTTACCTGCTGGATTTTTTAATCCGGTGGACAGTCCATCTAGAAAGGCCCTCCTGGATGAAGTTACAGAATCATCAACCCATACTTTACTTGTAGTGTGTCCTGCGTTTACCCACGTTTCATCAAGGTAATAAATCTTCCTGTTTTGATTTCTATATTTCCCAATTTTTGTTAAATAATCCCTCCTCCATAGCACAATTTCTTCTCTATCCAGTAGTAAACTATTACGACCCCGTTTTTTCCATTTGAAATTTAAATGCTTCAGTAACGCATGGAAAGTTGATCGTTTGAAATTTGGCAACGTTGTATCTCCATTTACCTCCTGCAGTACTTTATCTATAGTAGGTATTTCATTCCTAAAGAAGAATTCATGCACTTTCCTCCTAATCGCATGCTTATCAGCTTCATCCAATGATTTAACAATACTTTTGCGATGTTTACTGGTCATTGGCTCAGAAAAGGTGTGATTTTTTTGTATTGTCTTAACACATTAAACACTGATGCGCGACACACCCCAACTTTGTGAGAAACCTTCACAACAATTTCTTTGATGGTTGATGCCTCGTTCTCCTCGCGCTCGATCTTATATATATTCAAAATGACCTCTTTCATTTCTGCACTCAGGTGTCTTTTTTTAGAGCGTTTCCTAGGTGGACTACAGGAGTTTACAACTTCATCGGCAGTATCTGTACTACTGGGCATTTTGCGCAAGCAGTTGATAAAAATAACAATCAATAACAAGGTATAACAATAACAACGACAAACTCAACAACTTAATAAGATAACAAACGAAAACGTCCAAAGAAATATCAAATTGCAATGATGCACACCACATACGTAACACGTCTGAACCTGAATGTGACTCTGCCTTGATACGACTGCTCTGCCGCTCGGCATAGGCATTTAATTGCGAATTGACCAATGAGGGCTCCTGTTTTACGTCGAGATGGCGGCGTTAGCGTGGAAATCACCCGAACCTTTTGTTTACATCCGGTCTATCTCTTATCTGAATATACTGTAGGTTCAGTTTTTTTTATGTAGATTTTGATTATTTTTTATATTTTTTGTTTAGTAGTGCCTTCCCTTTGTCAATAAAAATTATTAACAATCTTCCATCGTAGCATTACATAATTATTTTTGACAACACGAAATGACGTATCTGACTTATCAATTTTTTTCCTCAAAACTTACTCAGCATACAACCATTTTGCTAGCTGCATTTCAAAAATGGTAGATTTGAGTATGCTAGACTCAAAACTTTTTGTGGTACAATTTTTATTGTATGACATACAGATTCTCAAAGAGATCCATTTTCCTTGTTTTCGCTCTCCTGTAAAATTAGGGAAGTGTCAGTTACGACACTTCGGGTTTTGGGGGACGATATGGTCGCAAAGCTCTACTTACTAACGCGTCTCCAATAACCCTCTACGGTGAGACCATATTTTGTAATGAGACCTACTGATTTATTGTCTACAACTTTCCTACACATGAATACGGTAGCAACTCATAAATCATACTTATTACCGATTCATTGTCTTCTCAAAACAGATACAATGCTCAATATTATGAATTGTACTGTACACGACAAAACATTGTGCCTGGAATTTTGCTTAGTATTCAATAAGCGATGGTCAGTCGATAATCCGCTTAGTTCCAGAAAATAATTATAACAACAACTAGAGTATCGGATATAAACTTGCGTGACAATGTTGATAACATAAATAAGTTAATATAAAATAATCGAGCAGCAACATGACTCTAAAAGGAAGGGACCCAGAGAAGGACAACCAACGACCCTTGATTGCAGAATCGGACATCGAGATACTTAATGAGGCTCTGCAGGATATCGGCAAAAAATGCCTTCTGGAGAAGGAGATATGTAAGTAAATGAATAACAATTATACACAAACCAAAACCAAACGACCCGATATCATGTCATGTTTTAGTGAACACATATTTGGGCAAGAAGTTGTTTTAATAATTTTCCAGAAAGAATCTTTGCATCCATTTAGTATTATAGAAGCTAATGGAACTTTTACCCAGTAAAGATTTTTTATTACGACCTAAGGGGATCAGAAAGTTGAAAATATATAATAATCATAATAAGTTTTTTTTACCACTAACCAGAGAAATCGCTATTCTTGGCGGCAGTGTCTTATTGAGAAGTCGCATTTATCTCCCAAGATAAATATTGTAAACCAAAAAACACCTAGATAAATAAGAATGTCATTGTACCTCCACATGACCTCCTTACTCTGTACAAGGCCCAGATAACACCTCGAGTATTGCTCATATGCTACCGCCCCGACTACATTATCCAAGCTTCATGCTGTTCAGAGAAGGACTGTCCGACTGATCGATGACTCTTCTCTAACGCACAGTCTCGGGACCTTTTCGCACGCTGCCGGCGATCTAGCTCTCTTCTACCGCTAAGCCTGGGCTTTGCTAACTCTCCTGCTGTGCGATGTGCCTGCCAGACAGACTCCCCTGACTTCGGCCTCCCGTCCTAACCGAGTCGAAATACAAGCATCCAGAACTGGGGTATCCAGATTGCGGAACAATCTACAAGACGAGGCTTTTCCCAGTTCTACTAACCTTAGGCAATTCAAAAATCTGATTTCGTTAAGATCCCCATGGTAACCGTAGCGCCCTGGAATTTAGGCTTCTGCCTGCACACTGAAATATTTTAGAGCGATTGAGAAATTAGTAGTTTTAGCTAGCTCCTCATTGAGGTCTCCTTTTTGAATACCCCAATAACACTGGTGAACAAAATTAAAATAATTTTTGTGACATGGACACAACAAGGTAAAACGAACCCAAAAAGCCGGAAATAGTATTCGATTATTTCTATCACCCACGATTTTCTTGCAATAAGGCATTTTATTTGCTACTTATACTCGTAAAATATGAGGATATGTGTGTAAGAGTACTAACAAACACTCGGCAACAGAATATTGCTGTCGATGTTTTACGGCGATATTTTATTCCTGAAATATCTCTTAACAATATCCAGCAATAATCAGCAAGCAAATTGACACTCAATTTGCCTTGATACCGTTTTTCCATAGCAGAAATGTCTTGGTGTAACCGTTCACCATGTTCATCACTTACAGCACCTAAATTTTCCGGAAAACAATCGAGATAAGAATCCAAAGAGTGAATTTTTAGAGACAGATTACATCCCATTCCTTACTAAGAATCAATTAATTAGTTCGCTCACAATATCTTTATAATTGTCCGCCTTCACATTTCCTAAAAAATTTGCGGTAACTAATTTAAAAGCATTCCAAGCTCGTGATACAGTTTTATTTAGAGCACTGTCAAATACATCATCCGTCATGATTTTCCGTATTTGTGGACCCGCAAATATGCCCTCTTCAATTTTTGCCTCACTGGGGGCCAATTTCACCAACAACAGTCCGTTATACTCCACCTATAGGGTAACAGATCGTCAGATACAGCGAATGAGCTTCAAGTTCCAATCAACAAATTTTAGCAACCAATAGCTATGAAATGTTGAAAACAAAATACTGTCAAAGTATGAGATGACAACTTGTCATTGAAACATCACCAGCTTATTGAATATTAAGAAATTACATATACATAATTCAGTTAAAATTTTAAGACATCTTTGATTTTTGAATTAAATTCATGTTTTAATTACTATTGTTGATTTTTTATTCATGTTTATATTATGTTCTTCAATTGATATGCGATACTGAGTGTCTTTTCCTATAAACCTCTTGCAGATAGCCATTAAGCACCTACTTGATCACAGGCTCTACCAAAAGATATTGCTCGTTTCCTTAGATTGATAACTGAACAAATATCCACACTATAGTCAACGCCAAACAAAGTGGCGTGCACGTCATCAAGGTGGGTGTGTTGAAAAATTTACATTGTTGCCAAACTTTTTGTAAAATAATAAAATTTATTATTTACATATCTAGGTTTATAAGCAATATTAACCTCAAATGAGAACAAAAATAATAGTATAATAAAATTATAGATCTGTACTTGCATAATCATTAAGTATGACAATTATTGATCAGATGACACTATGAAACTACCATATTTAATTGATAGCTTAAAGGTACTGAATAAAAATCCAAATGGGGTCCTCCAAATTTTATGCATGGTATTTATTTTACAGAATTCATACAGAAAAATGCATTCTAAAATTAGGTAAGCTACTGGTGTAAGCTTTTTCTGTACAATAAAGTTAGTCGGAGTTTCTTTCTTCAGCGCTGTCTGAATCTGAATCTTCATCACTCTCAAAGTTGATTATTAAAGGTTCGATGTCTGGTCGATCAAAAATTCGTTCTCTTTCATACCATTTAAAAATTTCTTGCTCAGTATGTCGAACACTATTTTTCCACATGTCTGGGGTAACCGTTTGTAGAGCCTCGTTCCACATATCCAAACAGTCTTTTTCACTGTTACCATCTCTACCAATATGTCTGTTATAGTAACCTTTTGCTATGCCCCAAATTAACTCAATAGGGTTAAATATACAATGGTAAGGAGGCAGACGAAGAACTTTGTGCCCATGTTGTTCCGCCAATTCATCAATCACGTATATTTTAGGTGGTTTGTTTCTAAAAAAGCAGTTATTTTAAGAATAGGAATAAACAAAAGAAATATAAACTGTCGACCAAAATATATATAATTAAGAAGCATTATGTACCGAGCAACAATACTCAATAGCTCTGTTTTAAACATTGTGTTTAAAAATGGTATGTTTTGATTTGTCAACCAGTCTTGGATATTTTTTTTTGTCCATGCATTGTTGGGCACTTTGTTCAATATCATGCTGTGATAAGGGGCGTTATCCAGTATAATCATAGATGGACTCTCCAATTTTTCTAATAACTGATGTTGAAACCATTTCAAAAAATTGTCCTGGTTCATCTCTCCATGGTAATCGCTCAATTTTGTTTTCGAAGAAAATATCGCTTCACTACCCTCAATAAACCCATTTTCATTTCCAGCATGTAATATAATGTATCTAAAATATATTAGTTTTAAATTTTATAGTGCAAATTGTGTAAAAGTACATACCTTTTACCATCTGTTTTAACAGCTTTCACGCTTTTTTGGTTTCCATTTTGCCAAGAGCGACCTATGGTCCCATTTTGAAATATCCAAGTTTCATCGAGGAAGACAAACTGGTATAAGGCCTCAACCTTGGCTTGATTGTATTGCCTTAGAAATTCCACCCTTTTCAAAGCTATACTTGGTAGTTCCATGAGCCCTCGTCGCGGATTGTCCTTAAGCCACTTAAATCAAGATCTCTAAGCAACCGCCTTAAAGACGTGGCACTACCATCAAATAATGCCCTATCTCTTAATCGAGACCATAAAGTTTGTATCGTAACTTGTTCTTCTGAAACCATGTGTAATATGACATTATAATTTAGTTAACAAATTAATGCAAATTTCTGATAAGTTATTATAATAAGATCTTACTTTTGTGATACATATTATAGATCACTTCTCGAATGGCACTTGTATCCAATGTCGCTGTGTTGGTTACACGTTTAATATAACTCCGCTTTTTCTTGGGCGATTCTAAATTTGCATCACTTTTCACACCCTCGGAAATACGACTAACTGTCCTTAAACTAATTTTTAAAGCAGCAGCAACACGCTACAAAAAATGAAATAAAATTTCACTATTATTAATATACATTACATATAATTATTAGTAACCTACCCCTTGAACAGCATTTAAAGGCAACAAAGGCCCGTTGTTGTCCCTTTCTTGCTCAAAGTAGTGCATTAACGAGGCCACGAGTTCCTTACACCGACTATTTAACTGTTTGGGCATCTTTATATACCAAAATTGCCTTTATCTACTCGTAAAATGAATAATTTTGTTTTGAAACAAACAGTTGTTGATTTACAGTATGCGGGGCCAAAGGATTTATAAAGATTTGAAATGCCACAAATTGATTCAGTGTCAAAATTAATACAAATGTCAGTTCCCAGTATAAATAAGTTTCAAGGTGACAATTTTGTCAACGCTGCGAAATCGGTTTAGTGCGTTTACATGTCGATAAGTGATTGGAGCGTTTGCAAAACATTTTATTTCGCATAATGCGTCTAAATTTATCAGAAAGCAACTTATGTGATATTTTAATAACAATGTTTATATGACTATTAACCATAATAAGAGAGTAATGACCATTTTACAATTTATATATCACATTAATATGAAACTGCAATAGAGCAATTGTTTGTGATAGAAACCTAGGCATTAGGTCGGCGAATTTTTATCGTGATGACGTGCACGCCACTTTGTTTGGCGTTGACTATATATTCACAGCGATTAAGAAATTCCAAAATATATGCCTTAAAGCTACCATCAAACCTAAAACCTGCAAAAAAAAACTACAAATTTGCCATATTTTTCTTTTTTCACGATACAGCTGATTATTGCATTTCAAGGAGTGACACATGTGTGGGATGTGTCAACTCTTGGTACCAGTCACAAAACGTATACTCTGAAGGTTTAATTCAATGCTATTCACTGACAACACGGTGACTTGTGTGGTTGTCAGCGGCCATTTTTGAGGGTGCGACAGGGTTGCCAGATTGTGAATTAATATCCCGTTTCACCCTCCTGGTCCCAGTGGAGTAAGTTCCGACATCTGTTGAAATATCCTCTACTATGCTTTATAAGACTATTCGTGACATTTTTTCCAAAATCATTGCACAGCACTTGAAAAAATGCAAATGAAAATTTAAAATTATTTCGATGACGCCGCAAAAGAATGTGTTCTCGTGAAAAAAGAAAAATATGGCAAGTTTGTAATTTTTTTGCAGCTTTTAGGTTTGCTGGTAGCTTTAAGGCATATATTTGGGAATTTCTTAATCG